AACCTATTATCTGCAATCAAAGAATAGTTTAAGATTTATGTATTATGTGCAATAAAAAATCTTTCCACAATAATCTATTATCTGCAACCAAATAATAATTCGAAATTTAACTATCTGTTATAACAACAACAACAACAAAAAAAAAATCATTCGAGATTCACCTATTATCTGCAATCAAACAATCATTCGAGAATGCATCTATTATCTGCAACCAAAAATCATTCGAGATTCACCTATTATCTGCAACCAACGAATCATTCGAGATTCAAGAGTGACAAAATCTCTGAATGCTTTTTGATGGTAGTTGCCTGTTGATGTGATTTTTTTCCCTTCCCAAAATGCGAACACTAGCAAAACGCGCAGAGCACTTAATCAAAAAAGGGCATAATTACGTAATTCATCATTCCGCAAATTAGGAAATGAGAAACCACGGAGTCAGGAAGCAAAACAAAATGAAAGCGGACTTTTTATTCCCCTCTTTATTAACGCCCGTCGCATTTTCCATCCTTTCGGTTGTAAGTAGAAATGTTTTGTTCCACAGAACAAGAGATTAACACAGTGTGATGTTTGCATTCATTAATAAAAATATTTACTTTACATACGTATACGACAGGCAGTTAAATTTTATAAGCATATGATGAATGAAATTAATTAATCTTCTATCTAAGGCAGATTTCATAAACCTAAATTGTTGTTGTCAAAAAAAGAAATTTTCTACTAAAATTAAATAAATACATATATTTAAAAAAAATTTTTTAATATAAAATTTTACACGAAAAAAAAAAAGGATTCGGTAAGAAAATAAGTATTCGATAAATGTATTTTCAACACAGAGGATTATAAAAATGAATTAAAGTGTTTATTTATCGCAAAAAAATGCATTTAAATGTATGAATTTATTAAAAATTTCAAAAATGTATGAATTTAATAAAAAATTGCATTTAAATGTATAAATTTAATAATAATTTCATTTAAATGTATAAATTTAATAAAAATTGCAAAAATGTATGAATTTAAGGAAAATTGCAAAATTGTATTTAAAAATCTTCAGTTCAATATAAAGGATTACACATTAATTTGAGTAATTAATTTAGTTTTAAATTTCTATCAGTCAGTACTGGTTTAAAAAAATTAACGAAAAATTAGAAAAAAAAAAAAAAAAAAAAAAAAAGACATCAAGACATCTATATGCAATATGTCCAGCATTATGTGCACACTAGGTCTGGACCATATATATACTGAAAGGTCTGGACCATATGTATATATATACTGAAAAATCGATTTAAGTCTAAAATTATAAAACCAATTTTATTATTCTTATGTTAACGAAATTCTGATTAGGATATCAATGTTCTGTAACACTTATTTTGGCATTCGACAGTGATTTTCGCGATTTCGACAGTGAAAGTTTGTATTCTTTACTGATGATTCTAACTTCTCTCTATAAAGTCAGTCAAGAAGATTGTCCGCTTGGCGGGAGCTGGGAATCGGCTTATAACCCAGTCATGTCAGTGAAAATGTTAGAGATTTAATAAGTCTAGTATATGTGTGTGGGCAGGTATCTCTTTGGGTGGACACATTGAACAGTACATTGTACCAAGAAGCATCATTACTGTTCAGTTCTATAGTGACGACAGTATTTATCCAATTATTCATCCTTACACAAGTAGAGTTGATGACTCCATAATTCTATAAGACGATATTGTCAGATCATATAATAGAGTTCTGTTGGTGGACAATTTCCTCCTGTTGTTGTGCATATGAGTAGAGTAGCACGTTCACCGGACTTTAAAAATTGTTTGTTCTAAGATTAATAAACATCGTCATTTTGAGCATGAAACGTCGCTGTCATTCCTGTATAAATGTTATTGGTCATTACACTCCATATTGAAGCTGATCACATTTTTGAAATCAGATATACATTTTTTTTTGTTTAATTTGTACATTTTTAAGACAAAAAATAAGCCTATTGTTTTTCTTTTTTGTCTATATTATGAAACGTTGTATAATTAATGGTTTTGCCAATTTTCACTAAACTCCATTGGATATAATTTTTCTAATCTCAATTTTTCTTATTTATAAATTTATTATTATTGTAATTTTTAGAAACCAATGTATTTTGAAATCATTTCTGCATGCCATATTTTTCTATATTGGAAGAATTGTAAATTATTTTTTGTATCACCTATGATTTTTTTTTCCAAACTGATAAATTGTCTAAAAACAACAATTTGTACAGAATTGATGGTAACATCGGATAAAGATTAATGAACAAACAAATAAAAAGTAATTTCTATTATAAAATTTACGCACCCTTAGCCGAGTATTGGGTTTTTCGGCTTAGAAGTGGAGCACTTCTACGAATCTATAAATCTATGTCTTTAAATGTGTTAAATATTGTATGTCTTTATTTGTACGTGTGTGATGTTTATATTTGAATAAATAAAGCTGCGAATTCTCCAACCTGTGCCTCAAGTATCTCAACCCAACCATAACCAGTTACAACCTGGTTGCTCAACCTGCACACTACAATGATAGTCTAGTTGTAAATAACAAACATTTTCGAAGGACAATAGTTTTTCTTGTTTGCCAACATTGTTAGAATGTGCGAGAGAGATATGAGCTTGAATGGCCAAGCTCTCCATTTACCTATGTTTCTGTATTTTGGTTTGATTTTAACCAGTCGGTTTCCGAATTCTTTAAAGCTTTAAATATCCAGTTAATGTTCTTTTTTGTAAGATATAATATTCTCTAGATTAAGAGAATTCATCACAACGAGATAATTTATAATATGTTATAGTTCAGTAACAAGTACAACCGAAATACTTCTTCTTCTTCATTGGCGCAACAGTTTCATGATGTGCCAAGGACAATCGAAATTATATTATAAAATACTGAAATAAAAAGAAAAGTTTCTTTTTTTATCTTCTATACAATAATTACAAATTTGCTCCAATTTTTAATATATCCACACAATATTAACTTAATTAATGATTACAAATTCTTCTGTATGTTAATAAATAAAATCACTGAGTTCGTTAATGCTTTATTTTGCATTTACTTCTCATACCTTCACTCAACTTAAATGAAAAATTCATCAACGATCTTTTAGAATGTGTCTTTGTGTTTACCACCAACATCATAATAATACGAGTTTTGAGCGAGTTCTTGATTAAATTAATTACAACTTCCACCTTCGACTCCAGTTCTCCCCATTCTCTTTCGGTCTAAGATGGTTATCAAAATCCAATAAATCCCCAAAACACACGAAGAGGGTCTCCAACCCTTTATCCCTGCCCCCCTCCCCCCCACCGAAAAAAGAAATCGACGCATCCCTCATTAATCCAACCCAAATCCCCCCAGTGAGAAAAGGGTTTAAGGGGGCAAAATCAGATCCCAAAGTGTGTTAGCACTGGGAGGAGCAAATTTGGTGCTAATACTGGAGGGGAGATTTCGGCCCAATTAAGTCCCTACTTAAATACGTGCGGTGCCTGGGCTCTAGTATTTTTCCGGAAAAGACATTTTGCCCGAAAGGATTTGGGGAGAGCGGATTTACACGGATACTTATTTTCACTTTGCCTCGCGTGAAGTACTCGTGTTTCTAGAGGGAGGGTGTAGTAAAATTAGAAAGGAGGAATTTAAAGTTATGTGCGAATTTTTAATTAAAATTTCGTTTTGGTAAGTGTAAGAAAGTTTTGAAACCCGTTTTTAGTTTCATTATTATTTTTTATAAATATTTTTTTCAGGCTTCAAGTGAATTTTTATATGTTGAACATTGTTTGAATTCATGCTCCACTGATGCAGGCCACAAACAGCCCACCGACAGTTCAGGAATGGAGGACATTTAGGCGCTATAGATACGAGATGTTTTAGACATATTGTCGCAATCCCCATCGAGTCGTATCTTTTCTGAAAGCAATGACTGCCATTCCGCAGCTAGCGAAATTGGACTCGAATTCTCAAGCGAGCTAGAATCGCACGTTACCACTGGGTCATAGGTCGGGCATCTGGTGGATTGCATGCTGGGATTCCAAAATAGGGCAGTGTAGTTCGAAACCGACAAGTTTTGGTTTGATTTGTAGCTCTACTGTTATTTTGTGTACACTTTAGGCTATTTAGACCGGGACCTACAGCTTAACATGGATTCCGAACGTCTAACAAACATCCATGCCACCGCCAGGATTCAAACCTGAAGCCTGTGGTACCAAAGGTCAGAGCTCTAGCTAATTGGCCATCAGGCCGCAAACCAACAAGCAAAAAATTGTCATTTTATCTCGGGAATGGGTACGATAATTCTGAATGACCGCAATGTCTTTCTGGGGCAGAGGGAAAGGAGAGAAAAGCTCAAGCACCCCATATGTCATACTTTAGTGTGTTCGTTTTAAATTGCGATTAAAATAATAGGCAATAATGCTGCAACATGTCTGAGTCAAGCTGAGGTTGTTGTTCATACACCGTTCTAAATGCGGGATTTCAACTTACATAAATTCGAGTCGATATAAATATCCGAATTTGATTTTTAAAGCCCTTTTTAAAAATATATTTTAAACTTAATATCATGCCCTTTATTATACTTATATTTACCTTTTATTATATTCTTTTTTTAATTTTAATTTTCCAAAAAAGAGATGGAATATGATGCATATACCACATCCTGTTTTTCGAATTTACGTTTTATGAAAATGCTGCAGAGGCAACCAAAAGATTTGTTCGGTGTATTCATGATTTATGAGTGAAAGTCAAGTTCAACTTTAGTTAAAAAAATTCCAAGAAGGGATGCTTCGTCTTGAAAAGGAACAAAGAAAGTATCGGCCAATCAGGTTGATCATCCACGCCACAGCCAGAATTCCAACCTGCAACTATGGCACCAATGACCAGAGCACTAGCCTATTGGCCATCAGACCGCTTTAGAGCAAGGATAACTAGACTTTGAAAGATTAATAAAAAGATAATTTTATAAACAAATTTATTATATTATTGATTTAAAAATTTCAACGGCCAACGGCCGTACCATGCTGATTATACCGGTTCTCGTTAGATCACCGAAGTCAAGCATCATTGGACGCAGTACTTGGGTGGTACTTGTAGTACTTGGGTGGGTGACCACCTGGGAACACCGTGTGCGTTGGCAAATTTGGGACCTGAATGGCCGAGTGTCTAGCGCTCTGGCGCTCGGTGCCACAGGTTTCGGGTTTGAATCCCGGCGGTGCCATGGATGTTTGTAGTGGTTCGGAATCCACTTTAAGCCGTAGGTCCCGGTCTTCTATGACTGTAAGAGCGTCACGGAGCAAAAGTCAGGCTTCTACCTACGGGTGCTCCATCACAACAGAAGCTGCTTCCTTCCCCTTCAATCATGAGTCCATATGGGCTCGTGGGCTTGGCCAGCCAAGTGGGATAAGAAACAACAAACAAAGCAACAACAAAAATTTACAGTTTTAATGATAAGTTTTTAACAAAACTTGTGTATTTGTATCAATGGTATTAATTTCTTTTTATGAAAATTCCCTTAACAATTTTTAAATTAATATTTTTATCGTGTGCCACGGCCATGTTATCACAAAAAAAAAAAAAAAAAAAGACGTTATGGAAGATCTTCAAATTTAGACAGATCAGACACATACCATTTTAAAATTACGAAATGATTAAACTAAAAAATAAACAACAATATACATAACCGAAAAAAGCGTTGAAAGCTTAAAGAAATGTTGCATTTAACTTGATGAACAGTGCACTTTTCATTTTAAGCATTATTAATTTTAAAATACTGTAAAGGCAATGCGCAGATGAGTTTATTTATTTTATCAAAATAGACTTAAAAGCATAATATTTACAACATTGTTGCCTTATATCTCAAACATAATTTATAGTTAGACGCCATCTTCATTAAAGATTGTTGCACAACATAAAACTTTATGTTACTACGCAATGATGACTTTATACAAATGTATATACATGGTAATGTATATAAATATATGTATGCGGTAAAGTAATAAAAAAATAATAGTTTTAACTCGTAACTTCGTAACTATAATTTATATTATTAACATCTGGTATTTTTTTTTTTTTTTTTTTTTTTTGAATGAGACCTAAGAAATAAGAAAGTGAATAATTAATAATAATAATTCAAATAATAATAGACTTAACCATGAATACTTTAGTAGTGATTTAGGAGAACTTTATTGTTCATTCATATTTACAAAATAAGAATGAAAAGACATGAAAAAAAAAGCATTAAAAGCTTTCTTTAAAAGTAACATTTTAGTTTCTACTTTAAAATGTTACCTTAAGTTCTTATCGCAAAACTTGGCTCTTTAATTTTAAAACCACCAAAAATAATTGCGAACATTATTTAGGGCTTTAAAAATAGACTGAATAAAAACATAAAAGGAACAAAAAAAAAAAAAAAAAAAAAATGCACTCGAAAACAAGATTAAAATTCCTACAAGATCGTCTAACACATCAAAGAGTTAATTCTAAATCATGAATAAAATTCCAGTAGCCACGAACTGTAAGCAAAGCTTTTAAGCCACATCAAAAGCATTCGTTCAACCATTACACTTCTGAACAAACCTCAATAAAGGCGAGGAAAGATTCATAAATCAAAATTAATCTCGCGTTGTCAAAAAAAAAAAAACATAAATAAAATAAAATAAAATCCCTCCGAACTGTGCTTCAACAATTACAACAAATAATTTACGATGGTTGTATGTATCGAGATGTGATGGAGTGATTTTCGTCAAATATAAAAGAGAGCATTTTTTTTTTTTTTTTTCATCTTTCTTTCTCCGGTTGTGCTATCGATTAGCGTCCATTTGTAGAAGCCCTTTTTCATCTTCCCCTTTTCGTTTTCTCTCTTTTTATTTGTTGTTATTTTTTTCATTACTCCTACTTTTCTCTTGATTATTTCGATGGCAAGGAGAGGGAGAATTGCGTGGCTCCAGGCGTTTGCAGTGGAATGACGCCGAGAACTCAATCGTCCTCACACAATGCCACTTGATGCAATGTTCAAACATGGAAATCCCTTGGCGAACAGGGTTGCTGAGTTTCGCGCCAAGGATAACGGATTACACTCTCTGTAACTGTTTGAGAGATGATTTTGTGTCTGAAAAAAAATGAAAGAACCTAGGACGATTCGATATTTTTAAAACATAGCGAAAGAAACTGTCTGAATATCTTGAAATTTTAGATGGTGGCTCAAAAATTTGTGGGCTATTTTTAAATTTTTGTCTGATATATAAAGATGCAATGAAGCAATGGAATCTAAAAAACGAAACTCAATTCAAGTACCCAGAACAATTCAATATTTTTAAAACATAACAAAATAAATTGTTGGTATATCTTGAAATTTTAGATGGTGGCTTGAACATTTTTGGGCCATTTTTAAATTTTTGTTTTTAAAGACGCAGTGAAGCAGTAATGGTATCTGAAAAACGAAACTCAATTCAAATACCCAGAAAAACTCGATGTTTTTAAAACATAACAAAAGAAATTGTTGGAATATCTTGAAATTTTAGATGGTGGCTCAAAAGTTTTTTGGGCCATTTTTTTAATTTTTATATGATGTAAAAAGGCGGAATGTAGCAATGGTATCCAAAGGTGTTTGCAAAAGCAGAAAAGTAATATATATATAAACTTGTTAAGTATAAAACACAGGCGTGCAATATGTTTTATCATGTTGCACTTATGTACGGCCACAAATAGTCTTCAAATGGGTGGTAAAGTACAAAACGCTGGCGTATAATATTTTTTATTATACTCCATGTTATTATGTTTATTATGCTAACAGGGTTGCTGAATTTCGCGCCAAGGTAACGGATTACACTCTCCGTAACTGTTTGAGAGTTGATTTTGTGTAAAAAAAAACGAAACTCAAGTCAAGTACCAGGAACAATTCGATATTTTAAAAACACAGCGATAGAAACTGTTTGAATATCTTAAAATTTTATAGGGTGGCTCAAAAAGTTTTGGCCAATTTCAAAATTTTTTTCTGATGTATAAAGACGCAATGAAGTAATGATATTTAAAAAACTAAACTCATTTCAAGTACCCAGAACAATTCGATAATTTTAAAACATAACAAAAGAAATTGAGGGAATATCTTGAAATTTTAGATGGGGGCTCAAATTTGGGCTTAAATGTTTGCCTCATGTATAAAGACACAATGAAGCAAGTATCTAAAAAACAAAACTCATTCCAAGTACCCGGAACAATTGGATGTTTTTAAAACATAACAAAAGAAATCGTTTGAACATCTTATAATTTTATACGGTGGCTCAAATATTTTTGGGCTATTTTTGTCTGATGTATAAAGAAGCAATGAAGCAATGGTTAACCAAAGGTATTTGCAAATGCAGAAAAGCAATATGAATAAGCTGGTAAAGTATAAAACATAGGCGTATAATATTTTTCATCCAAAAGTATCCAGAACAATTTGATATTTTTAAAACAAGGCAAAAGAAATTACCCGAATATCTTAAAATTTTACATGTGGCTCACAAATGTTTTGGGCCATTTTAAAATTTTTATCTGATGTATAAAAGCGCAATGAAGCAATAGTATCCAAAGATGTTTGCAAATGTAGAAATGAATACGAATAAGCTACTAAAGTATAAAACACAGACGTATAATATTTTTCATCCAGAAGTATCCAGAGCAATTTGATATTTTTAAAACATAACCAAAGAAATTGTCTGAATATCTTACAATTTTATACAGTGGCTTAAAATTTTTGGTCAATTTTTAAATTTTTGTCTGATGTATAAAGACGTAATGGAGCAATAGTTTCCAAAGGTGTTTGCAAATGAAGAAAAGCAATACGAATAAAGTAAAGTATAAAAAGGCGTATAATATTTTTTTTATCATGTTCCATTTATGTATGGCCACGAATAGTTCTCAAACGGATGGTAAAGTAAAAACCACAGGCGTATAATATTTTTCATCATATTCTACTTATGTATGGCTACGAATCGTTCTCAAACGGGTGGTAAAGTATAAAACATAGGCGTATAATATTTTTCATCCTGTTCCACTTATGTATTGCCACGAATAGTAATCAAACAGGACATGATAAACCCACATTTACTTTACAGAATAGTTCCGCATTTGAGTATCATATGGTTAGAACCTGTTTGTCGTCAGATGGTTACTCGCATTGTTACAATCACTATTGAGTCCTCTTTGTTTCTTAAATCAGTAAAAGTTTTATTTTTAATTAATTGTTGAGTTATAGATTTCAATAATAATTTTTTTTTCTTATGAAATGGTTAATAGAATGAAATATTTTGCTTTTTTTTTTTCAAAATTCTTCCTGAAGAAATTTTTTCAAAATTGTTCCTGCAAATAATAATTTTAAAAAGCATTTATATTTACTTTAAAATAAATGAAATTTAAAAAAAAAAAAATTAAGAACAATACTTAGATAAAACAAATAAACAAAGAAAAGAGAAAATTTTAATAATTCTTGACAACTTTTTAACACTTTAATTATTGTTATAATTTCTTAAAAATGTAGTCGTATATTTAATAAAAAATATTCTTAATTAAAAATATTCTTAAAAATTACTTTATATTACAGAAAGATGTATCAGTTGCGGATTTTATAATCTGGAAATATTTTTATGATTTCATAAAGAAAAGCACAAAAATTAATAACAAAAGTATATCAGGAAATTTTGGTATTGTTTATGTGCTTAAAATAGGTAGCAAATTGTTTTTCAGTGCATTAAAAAGTCTTAATGTTTTGTATCACAAGCTGTAGCTATAGCAATTTACTATTTATAAGTTCAAATTTGCACACTAATTTTTATTTCATTTGTTATAAATTTTCACAGATCATTTAAAAAAATTTTTTTCACAAAAACTTAATGTAATATTAAATAGATATAAAAAGAATTTCAACTTTTGATGGAACTATTATAGCGCCATTAGGAAGATAAATCGCCAAAATGTGGCAACCGGGTGCATCGATTCCTTTCCGTCCTAGACGGTTAGCCGAGAGCCACGAGGTACCAATCCCACGTTGAAACACTATAACCAAATTACCCCGACACCAAACGCAATTACACTCCATCTCAAAACGGTTGATTCAAAAGGAAACAAATAGGGCTCTTGTCCTCAAAAATGCTCCCTGGGTCTCTGCGGGTGGGTTTTAATTACGACCAGGGGAAAGGGAACATGAAATCTTCTTTACGCAACTCTTCTGCTAACACTGAAAAGTTCACGTGTAAACGCGATCTAGTCAAATGTTTGAAACAGAAAGAGACTATCACAAGAGTTGATACTACCGATGTTTTAAACTTAACTCCACTCAGACGGCATTGCATTGTGTAGTGGTTAAGGATCTTACTGTTTTTTTGGAAAAACGAAAATCAACAATTTGTTGAGAAAATAACTACTTTAAAATTTGACTAAAATGAAAAATTACACAGAAAATGGCAGATATTATTCAATTTTGTTGCAAGAAATGAGAAACAATATTCTTTTTTTTCTCTTCAAATAATTTTGAGGGGAAGGAGTCTGTGCTGAAGTAAAAAATGCAAACGAAATGTATCATTTGTTGAAAAAGATTGATGTGATACAATATTATGTAAAAGAAGCACCCTCATTTTTTAAATAACTCATTGTGGTGGAAACAGTCTGCATTGAGTACAAACAAATGCGAGTACCAGTATATTAGCATGAGTATGAGTATATTGTCGTGTCGATATGAATGTCAATATGTATTTATAAATATTTTTTATATTAAGATAAAATTATTTGTAATCCTTATATTACTCACATGTGGTGTCGGCATACTTTATGTGTGTTGATTGGAATGGTCACTAGCCTTTACCGCAGCGAATCTATCTCTGCAAGGAAATGTCCAGTTTCCAGAGGTTTCAAACAGGTCTTTTGCCGCAGCTGCTAACATAAGTCATATCTTTGTAAGATATTTTAAATGGCGGGTTTTTGCTGAAACTTCAAAGCTGCAGAAGGTCAAGAGCGAAAGTTTATCAAGACAGCATTATTCTACTGAAATAATTCTTCAATTCTGAGGGTAAACTAATTATAATTTATAAGAGTTTCAAGAGTTCATACTCTTTTTCTTAGTTATAGATAAATTTAGGAGAAGATTTCAAAGAAAAGATTTAAAAATAGTGGTTTTAAAATTATGATAATTTTTTTAAGTTTCTGGAGCTCGAAAGCATCGCAACTGAACATTTAAATGGTGCGTAAAAGGATATAAATTAAAATTCTAAGCCATTAAGCTCCATTCGAATTTCATTCAGTCTACATACTTTGATTATACCAATGCAAAGCATGCGTGTTCATTCTCTCTATGAGAAAAGAAAGGTAGCTAAGAAGGTCCGGCTGCCTGGTGTAACTTTCCAAGTTTTCTTCTATATTATACATAATTACGGCAAAAAAATCTTCCCGGTAAGCACTGTATCCCCTTTAATACCCGTCTGTGGTACACGCAAGGCCCACCTATCTAATTGTTACGAGATTACATAGCTCTGGTACGAGAATGAGGTGTGGAGAGAAAAAAACCCACCTGATTTGTATTTATGGACGATCCGGCATGTAACTGAACACAAAAATCGTTAATAAAGAATTCTGTTGTTGTTTCTTATCCCACTTGGCTGGCCAAGCCCACAAGCCCATACGGACTCATGATTGAAGGGGAAGGAAGCAGCTTCTGTTGTGATGGAGCACCCGTAGGTAGAAGCCTGACTTTTGCTCCTTGACACTCTTAGAGTCATGGGAGACCGGGACCTACGGCTTAAAGTGGATTCCGAACCACTACAAACATCCATGGCACCGCCGGGATTCGAACCCGAAACCTGTGGCACCGAGCGCCAGAGCGCTAGACACTCGGCCATTCAGGTCCCAAATTTGCCAACGGCACGCAGTGTTCCCAGGTGGTCACCCACCCAAGTACTGACCGCGCCCAATGATGCTTAACTTCGGTGATCTAACGAGAACCGGATAAAGAATTCTAAGCCTGATGAACGGCTCATTCGGTTTCCAAACTGACGATGTGAAGTTCTAAACCCAACAACCAAAGTGGAATCAATAGTTTTTATGTCGGAAATGCACGATAAATTTGTAGACCAGAAAATGATTACTTTGGAGTCGATGAAGAGTTTTCGAATCCTTCAGATGACGCTTTTCATATTATAGTGGTGCTTTGTGAACTCTACATACTCCTGAATCAATTATATATACATAGTTTATACTGGTGAAGAACCTTTAGATCAAAATACCCAGAATTCATAGTCGATAACGTATTCAAATTCGTGACTCCTATTTATTAAAGTTAATTAAAAGTTTTTTTCAAAAAATTTGAATATAAATTTTAATATAACCTTCATAATAAAAATTTTTATTCAAAGAAGTAACAATACTGAAGCATCGATTAGCGAAATGCATCACTTGCATAGAAAAAAATTAATATACTTTGGCGGACGAATACACATGTAAGTGTACCAAAGTTCAATAACCCAAGAAATTTATGAAGCTATTGGTCAGAACGGGAGTTCTGCACTTTAGGGTTCCACTTGTATAATTGGCGATTGTTTCCCTTGCGGCTTTCGCCAAGTCCCTTCCTAATCAAACAAAATGGCTGCCACGGTTATGAAATACTGCAGTTTGAGCCAATTACATTTTGCGCGGAAAAGAGACTTTACGAAATCGGAACGCTAAAAGTGCAGAATCTCCATATTCAACAGCGAGAACATATAAAAAATTTATTGAAAATTTATAGTTTCTTTCGCACGATGAATTTAATTTGTTTTAATTAATAATTTATATTTTTACTTATTTTTTATTTTAATAATAAGAACAATATCTGCCAGGACAATATCATATTCGAACATGATAAAATTGCTTTTCTGGTGTATTTCTTAAAATATCTGATCCGCATTTAACTCAGATGAGAAGAAATAGAAAATGGATCCCACAGTAATTCAAAATGTGACTAACTTATAGCCAAGCCCCACTTCAGTGTATTTTTTAAATGTTTCTTAAAATATTGATTTTCAAATTTTATTGTAATAATCCGATATATAACTGCCATTTCACTGGTGAAAGGTAAATGTGGCTGGCATCAAAAAACAAAATCTAATGAGGTTTTATAGAGCATGCTAGTTTTACTTACTTCTCTTAGTTGCTTTACCATTGAAATCTAAAAGTTGTGTAGGTGAGGGTGAATTTCCCTATATGCCACTCTTGAGAACATTCGCTCTAAATCGTGAGGAATAATCCTAACTCCTATATCCGTACAAAGCAACAGGCCATCTGCAATGCACCCTAGATAATATTGAATCTTTTATGATTAATTTGAATTGAATTTGTTGAAACTAATTGAATTTGCTTTGAATTTGTTACGTAACTATCGTTCTAGAATTTTACCTTCATTCTGAGGTGTATCAAAATAATTTAGATACTGCGATTTATGTGTTCTTTATGAAAATATCGTTGGATTGCATTGATTTTTTTTTCATTCTCAACAATTTTTTATTTTCTTGGTGAGACGACTTTTTTTTACAGAACATGTTATAACAAATTCTAACATTTTGCGTGATTGTGTAAATTTTGCATTTAATAGGTCAGGTAAAAGTAAGTAAAATGTGTATTTATTTTCCGAAAAATATAATTGAGCGAATAATTGATGGATAAGCTTGTCTGTTACCGCAAATTTCACTAATCTTGGAATCAATTTGGATATGAAACAAACATCAATCCGATACAACCATAGTCGCTCATTACTGTTTCGCTCAAATCGTTAAAATTCTCAGAAGAGCTTATAACAATGAATTGAAAGGGGAATTAAATTAGGAAAATTTTACATTGTTTTTCCATACCCTACTAAGAAAATTACAGTGTAAAGTTTGGGAATCACTAGATTAATATGATATAAATACTTATGTTTTATAGGAAGAATCTACTACAGAAAACGATCTACTTCTAAATTCTTGTAATATATGTACATATAAGATTGATAGTTGAGTGACTAGCACTCTAGCGCTCGGTTGCCACAGGATTCGAGTCCTGGCTGTGCCATGGATGTTTGTAGGGGTCTAGAATACACTTTAAATTGTAGGCTCCGTTCTAATATGACTGTTGAGCTTAGGGCTCATAACCCTACACCGTATAGAAGAAAACATCTCCTGTCTCGAAATTTGCCAGTAGGTAGACGACCTTTTCCCACCATGGAACTGTTGCGCCAATGAAGAAGAATAGATCACATTAAAAAAAAAAACTGTTATTCTTCTATGATTATGTACAATTTAAAGTGGTTGAATTATTTTTATTTTTGATTCTGTTGAGCTAGGTTTGAAACAAAATAATAAGTATTCATAAGTACTCATCATTATACTACGGTAAGATTCTCATGAAAACTACTTAAATTATTTAAAAAAAATGTTTACTAAATGAGATGAAGTTTGAGATTTGACTCCCTTTTAAAATTTATTGTCGAATGCCTTTTGCTATCGTAAAAAATATGTAAATGTTGAATATAAAATATAGACAAACAAAATTGTTATTTTATTAGAATATGAAACAGCATTATTTTCCCAAAGTGCTTATAACAAAATTATTTGATTAAACAATAAAATAATATAAAAAATCTATGCAATTAAAAGAAAAATATAAAACAAAAGCACTGCAATGATAACTACGATAAAAAAAAATAAATATTTACACAAAAGGGAACAAAAACAAAATAGTTTCAATTTGTATTCAAAAGAAATCTTTCAGATATGCTTCAGTGGCTAATCATATAAAACTAACCAGACTCAGAATTTATCTGAATAGTTAGCATAATAATAATAAATTAAAATTTTTTCTTTTTTATATTTCAGTTACAATTTTAATGGTAAAAATATTATCGGTTAGATTGGGGTAAATGTATGCAACAGAATAAATCTCGAATAAATATCGATCATAACTAAGAAATAATTTTGACAATACAATTATTATAAAATTCTCAAAACCATTAAAAAAATTTTTTTTTTTTTCCTAGTGAAGGCACATGTTCGGCTGTAAGTTCGTAAGCTTTCTTCAATTCCTTCTATTAGCTGACACTCTCCCTATATATATATCTTGTACAAATTTTCAATCGTTAATAAAATACTTTTTATTCATCCATTCAAGTTCAAATAAATTTTTTTTGAACTTGTAGTGAAGGACACTGGATGTTAATACAGTTTTTTCAAATATTAATTCAGTAATTAAATTTAATTCATTAATTTTAGTTTTTTTTTCAGATTTAAGTTGCATATATCTACCAATAGAGGGCGCCAGATGAACTTAAATAAATGAATGAAAATTATTTATAAGGGACTTTCTGCAATATAGTGAAAAAAAAGTAGGAATTGACTTAAATTTTTTTTTTATATATTACTTGTTTCTGATGTTATAACAATTTAGACCCTTCAGAACAAGTTGAAAGTTTTCCAGTATATTCTGTTGTTTGTTATCCCACTTTGTACACAGCGACATCTAGACCAAGTCCAAAAACTCATGTAGGCTCATGAAAATAAGGGGTGGGGAGGGGGAGTTTCTATTGTAATGGAGTACCCGTAGGTAGAAGTTTGACTTGGCTCTTTGGCGCTGATTTTTTACTGGGTAGGTTATCATCCCTACGCCCAACAATCATATTAGACCGGGACCTACGGCTTTAAATGGAACCATTACAAACATCTATAGCGCCGTCGGAACTCGAACTCGAAACCTGTGGCACCGAGCGCCAGATTTCTAGTCATTCGACCATCAGACCCTCAGGAAATTCTTCAGTACGATATGCAAATGCGGATAGCAGTTACTCCCTAAAGTCTTCCCAGATTGCAATGTTTCTCCTCTTATCAACATTCTGTTGGCTGTTCGAGGAACACAAAGCTTACCGATTAAAAAAAATCAAAGAAAAAAACAAAACAAAAAAAACCTCGACTCATATAGGTGGTTGAGCACGCTTTCAAATCATATGATGAGACTCCACACCTATATACATAAATCAGAAATTTACATAAACCAGTTTATATAAAGAAACGTGTAATGTTATTTGACTAGTTTGAACCAAATTGCTTCAGTTTAAAAGTCAACATACTAAATACTAGGTTGTTCTTGAACTCAATGGTAGCACCAAAAACGTCTTTGCAAGTGTTGCTATTCTTTTCCAAAACGATGAACCTTATTATTAATACTAACTATTCAATGTATGCATATTAGCTCTTTGCGGTACTAACTATATTTATGGAGATATTGGTGGTGAATGACAAGGTTTGTAACACTTCTTGTTCAACGAACTGCTTCTCCAGTGAAATGAAAGCCACGTGCTTCTTTTCAGAATATTCATTTTAACAAAATGAAAAAAGAAAATTAGACAATAATTATGTAATACGACATTTTATGTAATTTCTATTGGCGATCACAATTGTAATTGTAATTTATGGCATACTTTTAAGAGAGAAGGATATGCTAAATTTATTTAAAGGTCTATAAAGATAAATGAAAATGAATAAAAATATATGATCGATGAATATATACATATATATTTGCCAACAGTTCCTGTATCATATCACTTTTCCATCCTTGGATAAAAACGACATACGAATCACATTATATAATCTGCCGACCAAAAGAAGCAATCAGACCCAATACATTTTTTATGAGCCTTACTAATGGCACAAAATTATGCGCCCAAGTTAGTTCCAATAGATAAAGTTCGATTTCTGCTGATGGTGTGTGTGCATTACAGTAATCGTTTTGATCAAAGTATATTCGGTAATGATTGAGAGAATGCCTCTGCAAGAGAGTCAAAGTACTGAAATGTGGATCAATTACTTCAATGGGTAATTTTTTTTCTAAGAGATTTTTTAAACTCTTAGAAGAATTATTCATTTTAAATGGCAAAATCAATATTATAGTGCGCAGGTTGGGCCACCAGATTGTAAATGGATGTAGTTGGAGATACTTGAGGCACAC